GTTCCCAAGATCACAGCTGTGCTGAGATCGTTGGAGCCTCTCTTTTACTTTTTAAAAGCATTTTTTTACTACCTATTCGCCCAAACTGGTAGTAAAAAAATGCTTTAAAAAAGTTTTTAAAAGTTCCTAAGATCGTGCGCCACAGCGGATTTTCCCACCCCCACAGTTCTACTTTCATTCCCAAGCCTCCTTTTGGGGTGTAATGTGCATGCGCGCGCAGCACACAGTTGGTAGCAAACCGGTTCAGATTTCACCACTGATTTAAACCCAGAGGAGAAGCACAATATTGGGAGATGGTATTTTTCCCTAACCCTTTTGCCTTCATAGTTTTTCTGAAAAGGAAGACCAACATGAGTCCACCTTTTCTCTTTCTCCCATCATTCTTGGTCATCCGCAGGGGTGGGATTCAGCCGGTTCAGACCAGTTCGGGAAAACCAGATGCTAATTTTACATCTGGTTCACCGAACCAGTAGTTGCAAGGCCTGGATGATCCCGCCCACCCTGTCCCTCCCCTCCCAGAAGTCTCCATGCAGCCGGTTTTGGATGCCAGGTAAGCGCAGTGCCTACACGGAGGCTCTGGGAGGGTGAAAAACGGGCCTCCTGGAAGTTCTGGACATTTGGAAACACGCCCGTTTCCAGCCTCCGGAGGACCTCCAGAGCCTTGGGGAGGCCATTTTCGCCCTCCCAGAGGCTTGAGGAAAGCCTCCAGAGGTTGGGGAGGGTGAAAACGCCCCCCCTCCCACCGTGGTAGGAGGCCGAGTAGTCCACCCTCACCATGGCTACGCCCACCCAGCAACTGGGCAGAGAACCAGTTGCTAAAATTTTTGAATCCCATTCCTGGTCATTTTTCAGTTGTCACCTCAAGTGGATCAAATAGTCCGGCTGTTTATTATCTGAGGATGGGGATTCTTTCAGCAACCTCAAAAATTGTGTTTCTGGTCTGCTGCAGTTCATCAATAATGTTGCCAGATGTCCACTATTTGAGCGGACAGTCTGCTTTTTTCACATTATGTTCACTATTTTTTTTTCACAAAATAGTGGACATTTTTTTTAATTCAAAAGCTTTATGAGGAAATTAAAATGTAATTTAATATTTTACATATTATTATAATATATTTGATGTTTTGAATTTTAAGTAAAGTTTTGAAGTGATTATTTTAATACGTGTTAAAATGTTTGTAAGAAAATATATAATTTAATTGTAAATTTTTTTTATTTTTTTACTACTTAACACACACACCCCTGCTTGTCCGCTATTTTTTGGAAGCAGACCTGGCAACCCTATATCATCAAGGAAGCATAGACAAACTGATGTTGGAAGAAATATCCATCTGGTTCAGTTCCAAGTGGGGAGAAGGACACTGGAAATATGGAAGCTGATTGGAAAGATGGTTTATTGATGGACAAGACCACATGGGTTTGAGGTCCTGGGCGGCTGATCACATGGAGTGGAGAGTGAGGGTTATTTATACCTTCTCATGGGCCTTGCCCTTGAGCTTCCTGTTCCTGTGCAAGAATATGGATTCTATTGGTTGTTATAGAGGTCACTGCTAACTTTGTAAGCTGTCTGAGTCCCAGGCTTGATTGAAGCTTGCTGGGTGATGCAATGAAGGGGCTTGTTGTGCCATGTGGTGAACTCCGCTGCTAGATGGTAAAGGGCTAACCTATTATGTCCTAAGGGGTCAAGTTTTAATCTCATCTCCCTGGAGCTGAAGGTCTTTTGTCTTGTAAATAGGCTGGCCCAATCCTATTAAGAAAGTGGGGGCTGCTTTCCAAGAGTATGTTTCTGCTTTAGGGAAATATAATATTCTGCCTTTTTAAATATTTCCTAAAACATTTCACTCTTCTAGGAGAAGGCTGGGTGCTAACTTTGTACACTGGTATAGTGTAAAACAAGGTTTCAAAGTCTCATCAGCAATGGAAACATGACCTAGAAGTTGACCTTTCCATTTCCATTTCTGGGAACATCAACTGTCTAACAACTGCAGTCTGGAAGAAGAAGAGGAAACTGAGTCAAGAACAATTTTATAATGCGCAATTTATCTTTGTATACAGTAGTTATTTTGGCAAAGTTGGATTGCTTAAGAACTGTGGTTTGGTGGACACAATTTTAGGAAAGAGCAACAGGAAAAAGCAGCTCCTCTGCAGAATAAGAAGTGTGTTAGATCTTCCTTGGAGCGAGAAAGGTAATATTGTATGTTAAATAAATGCAACCTTCAGAGAAAGTTCATCTTCGATGTCAGAAATTCCATGATGTTCAACTTTGCAAGAGTTATAGGATTCTCAATACCTTTTTTGTTGCTGCTTTTTTGAGTTGACCTAATTTTCTAAATTCACCATAGGCAGCAAGAACCAAATACATGCTATAAAACGGTTTCTTACAGCCTAACATGACTGTGAGAAGTCTGGCCTTCCATTTACAATTGAACCACTGGAAAACCCCAACCAACTTTAGAGGCTTCACTGCCTTTGAACGGCAGATCTCAAACTGTATCAAATTACAGATCCTAAACCCCAAGACCTTCCACCTCAGCTGTTCCTGACCTGAAGGTCTTTGAAAGTCTTAGGAACACAATTTGCTAAGGAAGGCTGCCCAACATTTTCCACAGTCTAAAAGCCCAAGTTCAGCCAACATTTAGCCAACAATCCTAAATTGCGTTAACAGAAAGATACAATCAAGATCAAGGGAGGTACTAATACTACTCTATAAAGCCTTAGTAAGACCACTGCATCCAGTTTTGATCACCACACTATAAAAAAGATATTGAGACTGTAGAAAAAGTGCAGAGAAGAGCAGCAAAGAGGATTAGGGGACTGGAGACTAAAACATACGATGAACGGTTGCAGGAACTGGGCATGGCTAGTCTAGTGAAGAGAAGGACCAGGGGAGACAGGATAGCATCTTCCAATATTTGAGGGGCTGCCATAGAGAGGAAGGGGTCAAGCTATTCTCCAAAGCACCCAAAGGCCAGACAAGGAATGATGGATGGAAACTGACCAAGGAGAGATTCAACCTAGAAATAAGGAGAAATATTCTGACAGTGAGAGCAGAAGTTGCCTTCAAAAGTTGTGGGAGCTTCATCACTGGAGACTTTCAAGAAGAGACTGGACTGCCATCTGTCAAAAATGGTGTAGGGTCTCCTGCTTGGGCAGGGGGTTGGACTAGATGATCTACAGGGTCCCTTCCAACTCGGTTAATCTGTATCTGTATCTAACACCATCTTGGTGTCCTTGGCACCTTGAACTGTACCAGTGGAAAGTCCAACAGATGCCACTGTTTTCAAATGTCCATGTCACTTTCACCTTGGCTGCTTTCACACAATAGACTAGGCTAGGTTAAAATGGGTTCGGTATGTTGTGAGAAACCCAGACAGTTTGTGTGTGGTCTTCTGAAGCATGTCAATGCATAAGCCACAATCTGCAAAATCTTTTGGTCTTTCGGTACAGCAGTTGTGATTTCAGTGCAGCAGTTGTGTTTTGTTAACTGAGATTTCGAGATTAGAGTCTTGTATACATCTAGTTGTGGAGTCATAATATATTAACTGGATTTAACTGGTTGAATATCATCCAGATTTAAGCACGGCAAAGGTTTGAGCCCTCCTGCTTGGCTCAGGGTTTGACTTAACTTCCCTGCATTCTGCCCAACTAGCTTGTGGCTCTTTTCAGAAGAGGAAACTTCTAGAGACATCACCCTGTGAAGGGTCAAGGTACCATTTTGCTCTTCCTCAGAAACATCCAGTATTTTCAGGCCAGCAAGGAGAACGGGGGAAATTGGTGGAGGAAGAAGCACTGATGAGAACAAGCTGCCCCAGGAGGCCAAGAATTTTGTTCAGCCAGGCAGAACCAAAAGAAGTTCTGATCAGCTTACCGGGCTAAAGGAAGGCGTCACATGAAATATGGATTAAGCGCAAACACACCCCAATTGGCCCCGAGCAAAGCAGAACAAGTGTCTACTGGCTGGGATGGATGCCTGGTGGGTAATTCTCAACCCGTGAATCAAAAGCAGCCATATGGAAATATCCCAGGACTGCCTGAAGGCAGAGTAGAAGTTTCTCCTCCTGGAGACACTTTGTCTTTTTTCTTTTCCTGACACCACCAGCTCCAGCTCACAAGGGACTCATCACAACCCCACCCACGGATTTGTCTTCTTTGGTTTCACTCCCGTTTTAGTTTCAGAAAACTCTGCTCTGGGAGTTGAGAACTGGGGCTGCAGGCCTGCTATGTGGGGTCTGCTCATGAGTTGGAGCAGACCAGAGCTGGCCCTGCTGCAATTTTGCAGCATTGCCAAACTGAGGTGACTGGGTTGGTTGGTTGGTTGGTTGGTTCCTTTCTCAGGTGGCAAAAAGCTGCATAAGTCCCCTCTGAATCCTAGAATCAGGCAGTTGGAATGGGCCATTCAAACCTTTCAGGCTAAGCTCATATTCAGAATAAGAATCCATCCTCACGTATCCTCCACGGATGCTCTCTCAATATCTGGCATCTCAGCTATTCAACATGACCCCAAGATTTTCTTTTTCTGATTATTTACAGACGAAGTGCCAGAAGGCAGGACAAGAAACAATGGTTGGAAACTGATCAAAGAGAGAAGCAACCTGGAATTAAGGAGAAACTTCCTAACAGGACAATTAACCAGTGGAATAGCTGGCCTCCAGAAATCGTGGGCGCTCCATGGCTGGAGGTTCTTAAGAAGAGACTACAGCCACTTGTCTGAAATGGTATAGGTTCTCCTGCTTGAGTAGAGGGCTGGACTAGAAGACCTCCAAGGTCCCTTCCAGCTCTATTCTATTCTATTCTATTCTATTCTATTCTATTCTATTCTATTCTATTCTATTCTATTCTATTCTATTCTACTCTACTCTACTCTACTCTACTCTACTCTACTCTACTCTATTTTCTATTCTATTCTATTTCAGCATCTATATCCAAGTTAGAGATTTGAGCCATAAATGAGGCTATTTGTCAAATACTTTCTGAAAATCCAAATAGCCAACATCAACACGATCAGTTCTAGTCATATCTTTATCGCCAGTGTTTCTCAACCTCCATGATTTTAAAAAGTGTGAACTCCAACTCAAGGTGGCTTGAGAACTCTGGGAGTTGGAGGTCACATATCTTAAAGTCACCAAGGTTGAGAAACGCTGCATCAAAAAACTAGGTTGATTTTCCAGATCCCCTCGGGTTCCCTTTCACAAAAACCAGGGTCACGTTGACAATTTTCCAGTCCTTTAGCACTGAGTCTGATTTGAGGGACAAGTTACGTGTCTTTGTAGGGTGTGTGTGTCAACCATCTCATGTTTGAGTTCTTCAGCTGTGGCCTCACAAGATGCTCCAGGACAGAGTTTTTCAATATGTTCTATGATGCTCTTGATGGGATTCTGTAATAGACTAAAGAGAGGGGGGGGAAATCATTCAAATATTCTATCTCTAGAACTTTACTTCTTGATCAGGCGCTCTGTGATTTTTTTTTTTTTTAACAGATTCCACCATCTGAAAAACTTGGAAAGCCCTTGCTTCTCATATCTTCCTTGTTTCCTCAGTTTTGCTTTAGGTACTTTGGGTTTTTTTCCCTGAGAAGATCAGATTGGGCCCATGCCAGTGGTGAGTTGCCCCCGGTTTGGACCGGTTCTATAGAACCGGTAGTAAAACTGGCGGAAGGCTCTGCCCACCAACCCTGACATCATCAGAACACTTCTGCGCATGAACGGCATCCACAGCCCCATTGCGAACCGGTAGTAAAGGTAAGAAGAACCCACCCTGGCCCATGCACCTGTCTATAACGTCTGTAATCAACACAGCCATGACGAAGTCATAGGAGGACACCATGTCCTCTTCCTCCTCCTCCTCTTCCCCCTAATTCATTGATTCCACCGTTTATCTCAGAAGTGCAGAACTGTGGCCCCTTTATGACTTGTGGACTTCAACTCCCAGAATTCCTGAGCCAGCATGGGAGTCATTAAAGGGCCATAGTTCTGCACCCCTGGCTTATCTGAAACTTACCCTGAACCTTTTATTGGATTCTGCCTTCTTTTAAGTTAAAAGCATTCTTCCATGTCCTTCCATGTCCTGTACATGAGGTCTTTGATCTTGTCTCTCCATCAGCTTGGTTTAACTCTTGGTTTAATAAGCCATGACAGTATTATCTGTGACCCAAAACAATGAAAAACACTTTCATAGTCTGTTGAAATGATATTCAAGAATCTTGATTCCTGAGCAATTTAGAAACTAATTGGACAAATGTCTGGCTCTAGTATCTCAAGCTGTCCTCATGTTTTATGGACATGAGGATAGTGCAAAGCAGTGGTGAAATGCTACTGGTTCACACCGGTTCGGGCGAATCGGTAGTGATAAAAACTGGTTCACACCGGTTCGGGCAAACCAGTAGTAAAAAAAAAAAGCTACCGGTTCCTCTGAACTGGTATTTCCGGTGATCAGATGTGCCACATGATTTAAAATTGCTAGAAAGAGAAATCCTGCTTTCTAGTGAATCTAAATCATGCGGCACAGCTGTTTCCCCCCCTCACTGTTCTACTTACTTTCCCAAGCCTCCTTCTTCTGTGTGAAGCGCGCATTTTGTGTTTCCTGTGCATGCACACAGCACTCGTTTGGCATGCACCATGCATGCGTGCACACCACGCACGCTTGGTGCACACCGTGCATGCACAGCCAGCAAACCAGTGGCAAACCAGTTCAGATTTCACCACTGGTGCAGAGCATTCAGAGAGGTGTTTGACAAAGTGCATCAGCAGGAGCAATGACTCTGTCCGATCTGCCATCGCATTGCTTCAGCTTCGGTTCACATTGCTGGCATCCTGCCATAAAAGGAGGGAGGGGGGGAATGACAGGAACCAGAGGTGCCCATTGGAGACAATGGTTGAGAGAACCAAGGACACAAGCGTGAGAATGAAATGCAAACAGACACTAAAGAGGTGCCAAATCCAGAATTGTTACCAAAACAACAAATTTGAATACTATTGGACACGGACCAGATGACCAAGGGGGCGAGGACCTGGGGAGAGGGGAAATATACCAAATTTGCAGAAGAATATTCAGATCTGGCTTTGCTTATGCTGTAACCATTTGACCTTAGTAAAAGCATACCTTTTCTCTACCAGTGGAGTGAAGGGTCTTTCTTCTTCTTCTTCTTCTTCTTCTTCTTTTTTTTTTTTTTTGCTTTAATTTATATGCTGCCCTTCTCCGGAGACTCAGGGCGGCTTACAATGCGTTAAGCAATAGCCTTCATACTTTTGTATATTTATACAAAGTCAGTTTATTGCCCCCACAATCTGGGTCCTCATTTTACCTACCTTAGAAAGGATGGAAGGCTGAGTCAACCTTGAGCCTGGTGGGATTTGAACTTGCAGTAATTGCAAGCAGCAGATGTTAATAACAATGCATTAGTCCACTGTGCTACCAAGGCTCTTTTCTGTCCTAGGTGTCCAAGCTGGGAGAGGGCTAACAGACTCTTCTTTGAAGTGGTGAAGAATCACATCTTCTGACTTCCTAGTTGCCTTATGCTCAGAGGCTTTGCTCCAGTGTCATCTCAGCAGAGGTGTTATCCTCAGGCCCACAGGCACGCAAGGGAAACGGAAGGATCACCCTTCAGAGCAGTGGCCCAGAGGAAAATGTAAAATGTGGGACCTCAAGACTTTTGCCAACACGCTCTGCAAAGGAAGCCCTTTCAAAGGCTTTGGTAGCCCTAAGGCCTAGGCTCATTCTGCGTGCTGCCAACTTTCTTCAGGCAGCCTCATTAGTAGAAGAAATTCTGGGGCTTTCTAAGAAGAGCATCAGGGGTGAAATCCAACAGGTTCTGACAAGTTCTGGAGAACCGGTAGCGGAAATTTTGAGCAGTTCGGAGAACTGGCAAATACCACCTCTGGCTGGCCCCAGAGCAGGGTGGGAATGGAGATTTTGCATTATCCTTCCCCTGCCATGCCCACCACGCCACACCACGCCCACCAAGCCATGCCCACAGAACCAGTAATAAAAAAAAATTGGATTTCACCACTGAAGAGCATGTAATATTACATACTGCAATGACATTTATAGACATGACTTCTTATTCCTGGGATACAGGTGAGATTCACCCCACCCCAAATACAATCCAACTGATTTCCACTCTCACCATCTCGTTTTTTTTCCCCAGGCAGCAGCAGAATCCTGCCAGCGTTTACATATCATATTTTTCCTCCTTGGGTAGCTTTTTGCTCGGTGCAGCAAATCCCATTTTGCCAAACAGGTGTAACTCACCACAATTCTATACTCCACAGCATGAAATTTGCAGGTCCCAGTCATGGATCCTTTAGTTGTGTGCGTTGACAGGCAGAGACGTCTCTAAGAAAACCAGTTCAGGATTTTGCTGATCACAACATTCACATCAAAAACCTGATATGTCCTCAGGGGGTGGGATTCTTGTCTGGCAGTGGATTGGCACATGTTGGGCATGGTGTACCGATACCAAGTATGCATGTACGATCTGGAAGAAAGCCAATGCTTCACTACTTAGGAAGACCCTTCAGGTGAAAGGGGAAGCTTCCAGAAAGGGAGACTAAAATATATGAAGAGCGGATGCAGGATTTGGGTTTGGCTAGTCTAGAGAAAAGAAGGATTAGGGGCAGGGGTGGGTTCTAACCGGCTTTACTACCGGTTCTCTTTGTGTGCGTGCTTTGCGCATGATCGCCTCTTCGGTCGCGCGCTCGATCGCTACGCACATGCTCGGTTCGCTCGCAGGCACACCAAACGAGCACATCGCACAAGCGCGTTGCGAATCTGCCCAGCTGAGGTGCAGCAATCCACTCTGCCGCACCTCTCAGCTGGGCGAAAACAGCAGAAATACAAGGTCAGAATAACGCAGGGGCGGGCGGGAGGGCCCAGCTCCTGAAGAAAGAGAACCAGTTCGGTGACGTAATAGCGTCACTGCTACTGGCTCGCGCGAACCGGGCTGAACCGGGAGGAACCCACCACCAATTAAGGGGGACGTGATAGTAGTATTCCAATATTTGAGGGGCTGCCACAAAGAGGAGGGAATCAATTTATTTTCCAAAGCACCTGAAGGCAGGACAAGAAACCATGGATGGAAACTAATCAAGGAGAGAAGCAACCTGGAATTGAGGAGAAACTTCCTAACAGTGAGGACAATCAACCAGTGGAACAGAAGTTGCCTCCAGAAGCTGTGGGTGCTGTAAAATCACTGGAGGATTTTAAGAAGAGTCTAGATAGCCACTTGTCTGAAATGGTTTAGGATCTCCTCCTAGAGCAGGGGGCTGGACTAGAAGACCTCCAAGGTCCCTCCGAGCTCTATTCTAATTCTGATTTTAATTAATTAATTAATTAATTAATTAATTAATTAGTTTGATTTATATATGCCGCCCTTCTCTGGAGACTCAGGGCGGCTTACAATGCATTAAGCAATAGCCTTCATACTTTTGTATATACCTGCTTAGTAGGGCTTTTTGGGGGCCCCCTAAGCGGTGTTCTATTTTATACAAAGTCATCTTATTGCCCCCACAATCCGGGTCCTCATTTTACCTACCTCAGAAGGATGGAAGGCTGAGTCAACCTTGAGCCTGGTGAGAATTGAACTTGCAGTAATTGCAGGCAGCTGGTGCTACTTAACAGCACTTTACAGCACTTTAATCTGCTGCGCCACCAAGGCTCTTCAACCTATCCCAGATGGGAGCTTCCTTTTGCTTTTCTATTCCCTTCTGGTGCTGGGCTGGGCTCAGACTGATTCATCCTGAGGAAACCCAAGGACTGCAAAGTGATCTCACCAACCTATCCCAAATGGGACTTTCCCAGATACATCGGCCATTAACTACTGTGAGTCCCCAGCCAACACGGCCAAGATGATTATGGAGTTGGAAACCCCATGTTTATGGGATTGTGGGGATGATAGGTGAAAATGCCTGCGTCCGGAACAGATTCTGGACTTTGCAAACAAGGTTATGTGGAAGTGCTCTTAATGGATGACTAAATATGTAACAGCCAGTTATTCTGAGTTGTTTTTCTGATCTTTATCAAGCTCCCACAGTATGTCAAAAACCTTTTTTAGTCTTTCCAGGCCTGATGTGGAATACAGGGAAACTACCTTGTATGTTCTTAAAAAAAGAAAACAAGATCTATTTTTCATTGTAGATGACTGCCTGAAAGGACAAGTAAAACCTCATTTCCCAAGCTCTGATGCTTTCAAGAGAAACACTCCCCCCCCCCATTTGTAAACTGTTAAACAAGTCAACCAACAACAACTACTGATATCCTTGGCAGAGTCATGTAGTCTTGAGAAAGCTATGACCTGCAGAGCTAGTAGTTACACAAACGCACAGTTGTTTCTTGGGCTCATGTCCCACATGCGCATGACCCATGTTCCCTTGGGGAAATGCCACTCTCTTGCTCACTCACTTTCTGCCTCGATGCCCTTTTGGTGCGCGAGTGATTCAGACCACTTCACCAAATGACTCAGGCTGCACGACAGTCTGGCAAAGGTCCATATGACCTCCAACCAAACAGTGTGCAAGGGTGTGACACAGGCCATTATGGCATCCTGTGGTCTGTCACAATTTGTACTTAGAATCATAAAATCATAGGACCTTGGAGGCAGGAGACCATATACCATCCAAGACAAATGGTTGTCCAATCTCTTCTTGAAGACTTCCAGTGATGCCCCCAGTAATGGAGAGTTGAGGTCCACAAGCCTTAAAGTTGCCAAGGTAGGAGACCCCTGGACTAAACCATACGGTGGTGATTTCTCTTTTGTGGAAGTCTTCAAAGAAAGATTGGGTGTCAACTTTTAGAGAGGCTCCAATGAATCTTGATTTGAGCAGGCTGTTGGAGTAGATGTTCTCTAAGATCAACTCCCAACAGTATATTTCAATGTCCATGTCAGGTTGAAGTTAGATGCTAGACCCGTGATGGCAAACCTATGGCACGTGTGCCAGAGATGGCACACAGAGCCCTCTCTGCGAGCACGTGCGCCAACGCCAGCTGCTCTTCAGGTTTCTGAAAAACAGCCCAAAAATGGCCTGGAAAATGGCTAGAAAATGGCCTGAAAACAGCCCAAAAAACAGCCTGAAAACAGCCCAAAAAACAGCATGAAAATGACCCGGAAAACAGCCTGAAAAACGGCATGAAAACAGCCAAAAAATGCCCAAAAAACAGGCATGCGTGCTCCGGCCAGCTGGTCCTTGGGTTTCCAGCACTCCAGCATGCGCACATGCACACACATGCATGTGCGTTCCGATTTGGGCACTCGGTGCCGAAAAGGTTTGCCATCACTGTGCTAGACTGGCCTCTTTCCTGTCTATCTCACCAACATGTCTGATTGTATCCATAGATGCAATCTATTGTTGGGAGAATGAGAAGACACAGCTCTAGTCCCAATACGGGTAGTCCTCGACTTATGACCGCAATTGAGCCCAAAATTTCTGTTGTTAAATGAGACATTTGTTAATTGAATTTTGTCCCATTTTATAACCTTTCTTGCCACCGTTGCTAAGTGAATCACTGCAGTGGTTAAGTTAGTAACCCGGTTGTTAAGTGAATCTGGCTTCCCCATTGACTTTGCTCGTCAGAAGGTGATCACAAAAGGGGATCACGTGATCTTGAGACACAGCAATGGTTATAAATAGGAAATCATTTGAATTTTGATCACATGATCATGAGGATGCTGGAAAGGTCATAACTGTGAAAAATGGGAATTAGGCACTTCAGGGAACTTTGAAGCAGTGGTGAAATCCAAATTTTTTTACTACCGGTTCTGTGGGCATGGCTTGGTGGGCGTGGTGTGGCTTGATGGGCATGGCTTGGTAGGTATGGCAGAGGAAAGATACTGCAAAATCCCCATTCCCTCCCCACTCCTGGGGGAAGGATACTGCAAAATCCCCATTCCCTCCCCACTCTGGGGCCAGCCAGAGGTGGTATTTGCCGGTTCTCCGAACTGCTCAAAATTTCCACTACTGGTTCTCCAGAAGCTGTCAGAACCTGCTGAATAGCACCCCTGCTTTGGACAGTCACTAAACAAACTGTTGTAAGTCGGGGACTACCTGTACCTCAAAGGAGAACCTGAAACTGTCTCAGATGCTGACTGGGGATCAGAGGAAGGAGACATCATGAGAATGATGACGGAGGTTTTAGAGTCACTGTGTGCCACAATTGGGTACAAATGAGAAAAGTTCTGAAAGACAGTCCTGAGTTTGATCACGTTCAGCTAGGAATGCTTGTCAACCCAGATACAATCCAGTAGCTGTAAACCATGTTTTAAAGCCAGCGGTGATTGAATCATGAGGTGCAGTCAAGCAAACCAGGGATTTTATTTATTTTTTATTCTTTTAATTAATGACAAAAAAGTGCTTTAGCAAAAAGATGAAAGAAATATGACCAGAACGCATAGCAAGATAAATCACTTAGCAGTAAACCTTCTTATCTAGTACAAATATTTAACATATTAACATATATAAATTTAGCAAAATAAATATTATTGAAGTGCCTATATATTCATTTCTAATACACACATTTTTTTTTTACCTACTGTATTATATATAAATGAGTTCCATATTTTATTAAACTTATCTATAGGCAATCTGCTCATAGATGGCAAGCGCAATCAGGTCTTCATCCATGGAGTAAACGGGGCCATAAATCTAACTTTCCAATGACGCAATATCAGTGTTTTGGCCATTACAAGGGCAATGAGAATCCATTTACTCAAACCACGACTTAGTGTGATGCATGAACTAGGACAGAGGTTGGAAAAAAAACCTAAGCAGGGACTTGAACTGAGGTTGCCACAACTTCTGAAGGCAACTTCTGTTCCACTGGTTGATTGTTCTCACTGTCAGAAAATTTCTCCCTGTTTCTAAGCTGAATCTCTCCTTCATCAGTTTCTATCCATTGTTCCTTGTCTGGCCTTTGGGTGCCTTGGAAAACAGCTTGACCCCCCTTCCTCCTCTCTGTGGCTGCCCCTCAAATCTTTGTTTAATATTTCAACCGCTGCACCACATCTTCTGAGTCAGAAATCCTTCCTTCTTCCTTCCTTCCTTCCCTTCCTTCCTTCCTTCCTTCCTTCCTTCCTCCCTCCCTCCCTCCCTCCCTCCTCCTTCTCTTTCTTTTCTTTCTCCTCCCTCCCTCCTTCCTTCCTTCCCTCCCTCCCTCCCCCTCTCCCTTCCTCCTTCCTCCCTCCTCTCCTCCCTCTTTCTTTCTTTCTCCTCCCTCTCTCCTTCCTTCCTTCCCTCCTTCCTTCCTTCCTCGCTCCCTCTTTCTTTCTCTTTCTTTCTCCTTTCTTCCTTTCTCCCTCCCTCCCTCTTTTTCTTTCTCCTCCCTCCTTCCCTCCTTCCCTCCTTCCTTCCTTCCTCCTTCTTTCTTTCTCTTTCTTTCTCCTCCCTCCCTCCTTCCTTCCTTCCCTCCTCCCTCCCTCCCTCTTTCTTTCTCTTTCTTTCTCCTCCCTCCCTCCTTCCTTCCTTCCTCTCTTCTCCAGTAGTTGCCTAATGGTGAGGAGTTGGCCTCTCTACTTTTTAGAAGAGACTTATCCCTAATGATTTCATGGGTTGCACAGACTTCAGTACCTTTAACTTTCAAGTTGGAACTTATTTTCCTTCTTCAGATAAGATCGCCTCCTAAAGGACTCTGCATTTGATCCGCACTGGGTACTTATTTATCTTGCCTTTGGCTGGTATCCATTCCCTTTCTGTGGAATTGGCTGCAAGTTACTGCTTTTCTTCTCTTCCTTCTAAAATGTGTATCTCAACCTTCGGTGATCAATCCCCAGTCCCAGGCTGCCTGTCTTCCCTTCGCCCAACCTTCTTCTTTACCCACCTTACATTACAATAAGAAGAAAAATAATCATGACATATGGGGTGTTTTCTAGGTAAAAGAATAAGTTCCTTGATAAATAAAAGGTTGAAAATCTTTAGGGGCCACCATACAACACAGCTATATCTCAGTGACTGTCAGGGAGCCAAGATGCATTATTAACAACTACACATCAGAGAACTGCAACTAGAGACAGCTGAGACAGAAATATATCTTCCACTTAACAATATCGGGGAGTCCCAACCCAGCCGACCAATCAGGATATGTGCTTTTCCGGAGCCTGAAACACACCCTTTTGCAAGCAGTTCTTTTATAAACTGACATCAAAGAAGCTGGTTTGAATTAGCTCTCTTGGTGTCCAAGTCATCCATGCACTATGTACAGATAGTCCTTGACTTATGACCACAATGGAGCCCCAAATTTCTGTTGCTAAGTGAAACAATTTGTTAAGCAAGTTTCTCCCATTTTATGACCTTTTTTGCCACCGTTGTTAAGTGAAATCACTGCAGTTGCCAAATTAGTCAAACCGTTGTTAAGGGAATCTGCCTTCCCTATTGACTTTGCTTGTCAAATGGTCACAAAAGGGGATCACACCATCTTGGACACTGCAACCTGTCATAAATACGAGTCAGTTGCCAAGCATCTGAATTTTGATCACATGACCATGGGGATGCTGCAATGGTTGTAAGTGTGAAAACTGGTCATAAGTCACTTTTTTCTGTCACTAAATAAATTACTGTAAGTCGAGGACTATCTGTAGGTGGACAAATGATTGCCAAAAGCAGGCAGCTCTCCACTACAAACAAAATCTAAGCCGAGAGGGTTTCAGGGTTTACAGTAGTGGTCAAAATTGTGGGAACCTTTTGGGAAAAGTGTATTTTCTAAAACTAGCTGATAACACCACTTTGTTTTGGAGTAGTACTATAAAATTATATATCAACGGAAAGATAATTGAATCAAGAATGTAATGAAATCAGTTTTATGAAGGATTTGCTATTAGAATAGCAGTTACAGTATAAAGAAGAAAAGTGAAACACGTAGAAATAAGATATACAAAAATGATCACCATATCAGTTAATCCATAGTTGGGTAACCTTTAGCATGAATTACGGCCTTACAACATCTTCCCATGGAGTGAACCGAGTCTTTTAGTTCTGCAGCTGTTATCATGTGAAACCAAGATTGAATGATGGCTTCTATTAACTGGGTTTTTTTGCTGGGTCACTTCTGACTAACAAGTTTCTTTAGTCGGCCCCATAGATTTTTCAATTGGGTGAAGGTCTGGGCTATTCCCAGGCCATTCCAGCAGTGGAATAGGATTATCTTGAAACTCCAAAAAAAAGTGGTGTCATTAGCCATCAAACCTCAAAAATACACTTTTCCCAAAAGGTTTCCACAATTTTGGCCACTACTGTAGCCACTGAGATAGGTTCAAATGACTGCTGGCTGCCAATCAGTTGGGTCAGAATGGATTTGTGTCACAAAATCATTGATAGGATGGAAACAGGCAAAGCTGACCTTTTTTTCTCAAGGGTTGTCCTTGGTTTGAGCATCTGGAATTTTAGCAAGTTCCAGCTTGAAGATCATAAAATCTTTAGCAGAATCCAACATGTAAGGGATGAAAAGAAATATGGGGGATGGCTTCCCTCTGCCCATTCACCACAACGTTA